TGCGACGAAAATTCTTGATAGTGAGTGGCTTTACTTCTATTTCCTCTTGGATGTGTCAAAGTATTTGTTATGGAGGTTAGGACATGTTTGTGGGATTCTCCAATTTTGGACTCCAATTTTTTTTTTTTTTTTGGAAAAGGGTGCTCCAATTAGAAAAAATCTGTTAAAAAAATGAGGTTCTCACGTGATATGCAACCGTGGATAGTGTTTGATTTAACACTTCAAATGGCTTTTCTCTTGGTCCGAAGTGCCATTTGAGGATTTGTTTGGAGAACGAATAGCTTTCTAGAATTCCGATCATCTTTCACTACTTTTCATTCCCCAAACACCTTTCCTCGTCATGGACTCGTATGATAAAGAGATAGTGTGTTTTTAAGAGAGTCACGAGACATCGAATCTCGTTTGTACCTGACATGTGTGATACCCCTTTTGTCAATGAGACAAGGAGTGCAGGCTGGGAAGTGGTGCTCGGGCAATTAATCCAACCATGATGTTCCACACATGGGGAAGACGGCCGAGATCGGGAAGGAAATATCCATTCGCTCTTGGTCATGAGGTAGATATGAATTAATTTGAAAATTTGTAAAGTTTGGTGCCATGTGAGGCCAAGTTTGAGTTGAGGCTCAAAAAATTGAGTCCTCTTCTAGAGACAGTCCTTCATGTGTTGCGGGACAATGTCTATGGAAGTTAACTTGGATGGAAATCGTCCAGCCTTATGAAACTGAATTTCTTTTTTGGAGATCACCTACATGATTGTATTTTGAAGACTCTTTGGCATCACCACACTAGCCTTGAGTTTGCCATTTCCTTTTGATCTCCTTGCAAATTAAGAACGAATAAGTCGTTACAAACAAAGTTTTGACTTCTGAAGCCTTTTATAAGTTTCTTTGGGCATGGATAACTATACTAAGGTCGGTCATGAACAAGGATAGACTTGTCTTCATGCCTAGTCCTGTTAGGTGGGAGATGGAGATCTAGGGGAAGCCACCACCTTCGGAGTGGGTCAATTCTGAATACTATGTACTTATGAATTGGGTCACGTAGTTGCGGGTGGTATGATTAGAGATCATACATGATGCTGCATTGCAACATTTGTTATGAAACTGGAGTTCTGCTTGATCACGTACTGGGAAAAATTGAGAGATTTTTTTGAAGGGCTTTAGTTGGCTTGGGGCTTGTGGGCATCATCGTGAATGTGTGGAATATGACTTTCGCTGTGCAGTTCAACTCTTTTATTATGAGAAAGAGTACAAATCATATTCATGCAACTATCATTCACATTTTCTATGATATGTTCATCCTGAACTGGGAGGTTTCAGTGCCCCATATCTATCTCGTTGGTAACTAGTGTTTGGATGATTTATGATAAAGAGCACAAATTATATACACACACTACTATCATTCACATATTCTAGGATATGCTCATCCCGAACAAGGAGGTTTTTGTGTCCCATATCTATCGCAAGAGTAACTAGTGTGTGCATTATCTACCTAGTCCACATCACTCGTTGACTTTTGGTTTACATGGTTTTTCTTCTTCTGATCTTGTGCTTTCTTATTGGCTTATTGATAACCTGTATTTTATACACTTTTCACTTCCTTTTATACGTCTTTTGCTTTTTTATTTTATCCATATTTCTATGTTTTTGGCGATTTTATGTTTGGTTTGTTGATTTAGTTTGTCTCATATCATCGAAAAGTTGTTTTTGCGATATTTGGATAAGAAATACACTAAAGGATGGAAGAAAAGAGTCCATGTCAATCATAGTGATAATTATGATGATATAACAAAAGATGATAGTGTTGACATAAGGTCAAATCTCAGTGATAAGATTAAAACAATCTTGTGTTTCGAATGGCTACTGTTTTTCTCAAAATATAGTAAAATGGATATCATTTTGTAGATAATAATTGGTGCATTTGTTCTAATATTTTTTTAATTATCAGTTAAAACAAAAGAGATATGGCATAACAGTGGTAAAATTATAGCAAAAACATTCTTGAAGTACTAATTTTATTTTTAAAATATAACAAAATGGATATATTGTGATAATCTTATTAATGCATTATTTCAGAGTCAATTTTTTAAATTCCAAATTAAAATCAATAAGATATGACCTCATAAAAATATGGAATAGAATAAATAGATTTTGGCTCAAAAGTTTCCTCCATCTCCTATAGTATTGTCACAGCATAATGAATTTTGGGTCATTAAGTAGGTGGGTGATAGACAATTCCATAGGTGAATTCTGTATGAATTTGGGGTCATATCACTTCTTAATTATACTGCGTACTGCAAGAGCAAGCGGATAATAATGGCCACATTAATAATCACCTGTCACTTTTGAAAATATAAATGTTGGCAGATTACAGAAACGAAGATAAATGTGCCATTAACACTAACAGTTGGCGAATTCGATACAGTACACACGTGTACAATGACCAGTCTCTTTTGGAAGAGTAACCAATTAAAAAAACCTCAAGATATTGTTAATCAATAATGGCGCATGGTGCAGTGTATTCTTGTGTAGTAGTAGTTATGTGTGTTCTGTTCAAATTTATACGTGTATAGCTTATTGCTTGCACTAATATAGTACTTCATACCAATAATACATTTTTAATATCATTTTTATCTAAAATTTATTAATTACTGCTAATTTAAAAAAGTTAAGTCACTACTGATAACAATTAAATTACAATAAAAAATATAAAATCGCTACTATAACCACTAAGACTACTAATATTTTAAGTAGTATATTTTTCAGTAGTACTTATTTGACATACAAATCTCTATTGAATTGAAGAGAGAAATATTTGTTATTTTATTTATTTATTAAATTAATTTCATGAAATATCGAATAAGTTAATTCATTACTCTCCACCGTCAAATTTTAATTTAAAAATATAAAACGATGGTTAGAGTAATTGGTACGGTGATAACCCAATAAAATTAGTACTATTGGACTGTGATAAATAAGGGTGTGAATGTGATCTCGTGAAGGGCTATTGGACTGTGATAAATATGAGTGTGATATTGTGGAGAACTATTGGAGCGTGGTCAGAGAAACAGAAAGAGATATATAGCCTCCATCGTGGCTTCCATTTCGGCTCACGCCTAACTTTCCATTACTACTGAATCCCATCGCCAGTAGGTAAAAACAACGAGCTTAGCCCTATGCAAACTCCAAAGCTACATAGCTAAATAATAATTAACAACGGCCGTTCTTGCACCGATTCGAGTCTAGGCCCAAGCACACATAAGAGGTAAGAAAATCCGATTTTTAGTGTTCAAATTGACGTTTATGTAAGTTTATACGAATTTGAAATGCTTTATTTCTTAGCGATTGTTTAGCAAATATTAAGACGAATTCACAGAGTTTTGAGTATTTGTTTTTCTGTCATTAAAAAATGCTACAAAATGTGTTATCCCTCACGAAAGCTTAGTTTCTCTAATGAAAAGATCTATAGATTTTGATACGATTTTGTACCGTTATGTTATGGTACAAATCTAACGTATAATAAACTAAAAGTACATATTTTTTTATGTTACAAAATGAAATTATATTTTTATGTTATGGTTACTCGAAACACCAGTACTTTATGGAATAGTAGAATGACTCATTAATATAATTTAGCTAGTATCTAGATTTATTAAGTTTCTTCAATTAGAATAGTATATCGTCTAATATGTTAAACCCTGAATTCAAGATGGTAGCACAAATAAAATCTTGTGGTATCCTTTAGAAGGAAGTGTAACATACCACACCGTATAATAATTGTGTACGTGACACTGTTACAATACGAATATATTAAATATATTTTTCGTGTTTCATAACTGTGACAGATATAATAGATCACGATGAAATCGTTCATTTTGTGCAATAATTTTTAAAATTCGAGTTAAAAATGAAGGTGGTAAAAACTGGTATGAGTAGTATGATTTTTTTTTTCTTAAAATACATTGAAAATGAATCTCATTTTGTAAATCACAACAAACTTGTTCCATCTATGCAAAAAATTTGAAATCCAAGTTATGCAAAAATATTTACTTCTAGGTTACGGTATTGGTGGTTACACTGTGTTGTTTTTCACTTTGGTTTACGAAATACGCTTCTTTTCTGATTTTCATCTTATCCTATTTTTGGAATTCTAAATTAAACCTTTACATACTGATATTATACAAATGTGTAAATTTTCTCTATATTGGGTCCAAATACTATTTTTTATAATGGTGACATCAATAATACTGTGTACTGCAGGAGTAAGCGGATAATAATGACCAATTTAATAATCACCTGTCACTTTTTGAAAATCTAAATGTGGCAGATAATAAAAATGGAATATAAATGTGGCAAATTAACAGTTGCCGAATTCGATACTATACACACGTTAATAATGATCATTCACTTTTGAAACAGTAACCAATATTATATAAATAAATAAAAACAGTAACCAATTAAAAAAACCTCAAGATATTGTTAATCAATAATGCGCATGGAGATTATATAATAATAATAATAATAATAATAATAATAGAAAATATCTATTGAAAAAGAAGAGAGAAATATTTCAAATTTTATTAATTCACTAAATTAATTTCCCGAAAACACCGAATAAATTTTTTTCATTATTCCCTTCCGTCAAATTTATTTTAAAACTAATAAACGATAATCAGAGTGATTAACATGAATCTAACTCGATAAAATTATCACGGTAACTCGTGCCATAGGTGTGATATGGTGAACGACTATTGGACTGTGGTGAGAGAAACAGAAAGACATTTTATTTGTTTGTTGTGACTAATGCATGCATGTAACAGACACCCATACTCATGGGTGACAAGATGAGCTGGCAAAATTGATAAGGATGGAGTTGCAACTGTAAACACGTGTCGGTGCTCCCTCATAGCATTGAAATCGCACTTTCCCTTCCTTCTTTCCTTCCTTAAACATCCTCTTCATTATGGCTTCCATCTCGTCTCACACCTAACTTTCCATCGCCACAGAATCCACAGCACCAGAACCTGGATCTGTCTTCATCAACATCAACCTCATTCCCTCCTTTCCGTTAAGATTCCGTTCCGTTCTCCCATCGCCAGTAGGAAAGAACTACGTACGAGCCCAGCCCTAATATTCAACCTCCAAACCTACATAGCTAACTAACAACGGCTGTTTCTTGCACCGTACGTAGTTTTGCTGGCGGAGGTGTACGTGGGCTGATCGAACGGCGGTCTAAGGGAAGAATAGAGATCCTACCTACCTACCGATTCAAATCTAGGACAAAGCACAAATAAGAGGTAATTAAGAAACCCCGACTTCTCAAGTTATAATCAGTGTTTATGTAAGTTGAGATTTTGAAAATTTTCAATTTTGGCTACGATTTAGCTGACATCTAGATGGCCTCACAAAGTTTGAGCATTTGTTCTTCTAAGTCTAACAGTCATTAAAAATGCTCAGTTTATTAATGCAAGTTTATTTATGTTAAGTTCTTTAATTTCAATATTCCTGACATTGAATTTCACCATAATGTTATGTTTTAGAGCAACTTGATGATACAACATACAAGTTACGAGTTAAGCAAGTTTATAGCTTGTAGCTTATGTTTAATTTTAAGTTAGTTAGTAAAAGCTCCATTTAGCCACTCGTTTAGTTTGACTAGCAAGTAGCAACAAATAGAATCAAGACAGGATCCTCACGCCCGCACTTAAGAGTTCCAAATTCACTATCATGAACTTATTAATTGTTGCCAGACATGCAAATACAATGACTTTCAACTCTATAAGACATTTAGTTGACATTTTGTTGTTTAGTACCACACGAGATTTAAGATGAATATATTTATTATGTCTAAATGTATCAAATTACGTTGACCGTTTATGTTTTTAGTTTTCCTTAATTCTGACGTTTTTGCTAGCGTCTGACGTACTAAGGTGTTACAATTACTACAAGTCAGGTTATGTTTTTTCGGTAATTTTATGCCGCTTATATTTGTTCCCAAAAGTAATGTCCTTTATGTTTTCAAGTTTTGTTAGCTAGGGTGTCTGGGAGGTAAGATTCGTATATATAGTAGGATGGTAAGTCTGGCCTGGACACTCTCTGATCTCGTACGTACACGTCCGACCTCAATATGAGAATCGCTTTGAGTCAGTTTTGTCGACTGGGTCAGCCCGGAGTCGAGTCATCTTTTGACTTTAGAAGGATTGGGTAGAGTTTGGTCAACTGAGGTTTTAGTTAATTTTTGACCGTATGACCCATAGCAACAATTAGTGATATGAAATTACTCATACCAACACATTGGATCTGTTTGTAATGTTTTAAGAGTTTAGGTACTATAATGCAAGGGGGGAAATTAAAGGTAATCAAACGGAATTTTACCACCATAATTTTGGACCTATTTAAAAAAAAAATGTAAAGGTACTATATTGTTCATACCAACACAATGGCTATCATTATGTAATTTTTTCAAAAAAAAAAAAAAAAAAAATCAGTTAGTTGATTTATTTTACATGAACCACCGATTCGGCCCGGCTCGGTGCTGCCCTAGAACTAGAGGTTCATATAGGGTTAAGAAAATAAAAAGGAGTGGGACTAGCCAGTTTTATAAATTGTCCCTAAAGTGGCGAGTCATATAGGGTTCTAGCAAGATCCGGCCCCGTTTCAGCCCTAATAAATAGGAGGATTAAGATTTTAGATAGGGGCATTTAGGTAAGAAATTAATTTCAAAGTAATTGATGAAATTTGAGGGTTAGGTCAAAATAGAGAGGATATCATTATGTGTCGGTAGTCGATCGGTTGAAATGGATGAATGAAGTATTAAGTGTAGGGGATAATTTGAAGTGGTTGAAAGATGATAAATTTTGGTGCGTTTTGAAGTGAATCAATGGACGCACCTTTGGCTTTCGGTGTCAAAACTACACTACTAGTGCCGTCGCACCGTCAACCAACTGATGGAGCTTACAAACTGCCTGCCGCAGCCTTGGCGCCCTACTCCCACTGCTTCTTGAAGTCGCAACACCCTCCCAAATTGCGGAGCAGAAGTACCCGCTGCAGGGAACTCCATGCAGCTTATCCGCAACAACGTCGATCGGGGAACTACGGTCCAAACATCTGGGAGTCCCATGATTATTCCCACCCGCCAAATCGGGACAACACTACCCTTGTACGTACTAACTAGCTAGCCAGTTTGTCAGTGCATGCGCAGTTCTTTCATTTATACACGTTTACAACATTGGATATGGTTGGAGTGTGCAGTATTGGCAGGAAGAAGAAGCGGAGGAGCTGAAGAAGGATGTCAAACAGAAAGTGCTACGGTTCATCACTGCTACTGGAGGTGACGACGACGACGACGAGACTGTGGCACGTCGTGTCCTCGAGACGATCGACACTGTACAGAAACTGGGACTTGCTTACTATTTCGAGACCGAGATTCAGGACGCTCTGGAAAAAAAGATCGCCACTACTTCTACCTGCAGAGACGACCTCCACTTTTCGGCCCTACGTTTCAGGCTGCTTCGACAAGCTGGAATCTGGATATCTCCTGGCAAGTATTTTACACACACACAAATGATGAAATTAAAAACTTATTTTATTTAATTTTTAATTGGTTGACCTAAAAAAAATGAACAGATACTTTCCAAGGATTTCTAGACCAGGGAGGGAAGTTTAGGCAAGAGATCATCGGTGGTGATGCGAGAGCCCTGCTGAGCTTGTACGAGGCTTCGTATCTTAGCGTGCCTGGTGAAACTCTGCTCGACGAAGCCAAGAGCTTTGCTAGGAGCCATCTGCAGTCCATCATTGCAGCTGCTGATGATAAGGTCATCGGTCCCATGCTGGCCAACCAAGTGAAGCGCACATTGGAGCTTCCATCCCACTGGAGGCTTCAGCGCTCTCAAGTTAGGTGGCACATCGAGCAATATTGCAATCAGTACAGCGAAGAAATAATGGATCCAGCCTTGCTCCGATTCGCGATGCTCGACTATAACACGGTCCAGTTTCTCTACCACAGCGAGTTGGACGAGCTCAACAGGTACAACTCGTCCATACTATATATATTTGTCACATAATATCACTGACTGACGGAGAGTCAGAAATCTAAACGAGAGAACTAAAAATTGAGAGATGTGATCAAAGATAATTAATCAAAATTTGGAAAGGGCAGGTGGTGGAAATATGAGTTGGCCATACCGGAGAAGCTGCCGTTTGCACGTGATCGTTTGACGGAGAGCTTCCTATGGGCAGTTGGGTTGGCCCAAGAGCCTCATTTCAGCTACTGTAGAAAGACGATGTCGAAGCTTGTATGCATCGTTAATGTCGTCGATGATGTCTATGATATTTACGCTTCTCTGGATGAACTCCACCTCTTCACTGCCGCCATACAAAGGTAAATTGCCTTCTTGAATTTCTTAAATTACTTAATATATACTTTTTAAAGAAGAAGAAAAAAAACACTTGCATTAACAAACAAACAAAAACACAACCAGTTACATCAACACTAAAAGTTACTTACTGGACATTGTAATCTTTACATAGGTGGGACCCATCTAAAATCGATACGCTTCCCGTATACATGCAAACATGCTTCATGGCGGTCTACAATACAACTAATGAACTAGCCGACCACAACATAATGCAACAAGGTTTCAACAGCTTGCCTTTCCTTAAACAAGCGGTACGAGTTTATTAATTGTTTTTCATTGATTCTACTAATTATATATGTTTTTACATATTTTTTTTTACTATTTTTTCCTACTATCTTAGTAAAGGAAGCCAGAGAAACAGTTTGTTTTATAAGCTTTATGAGAAACTATTATCGATTAGTGATACAATGATAGATAATTTGTTGAGTGCATTTGTATTACGTATAACTTTTATTTGGAATCTACGTGATACATTCTAATTTAAACTCATATTCTAACAATAAAATTTGAAATTTTGATCGCATCATTTTTTTAATATGATGGCATAGTCTAGAATTAAGCATCTTATAAATAGTACTTAAAATGCAAGCAAATTGTAAATAAATTATGAGTGAATTCGCACATTTTTCTATTCAATGCTATGTGGTTGATGGTTTAATTAGAGCTTTATTAAGATGAATCAGATGGTATGGGGTCGGGTGCGTAGCACACTCAAAATCAAGATTGTACCATAGATTAGCCTATTATTTTGTGAACTATTAAAATGTTATATATATTTTATTTTATTTTCCGATGAGGTGTTAAAATAAGACCGTAACTATGCTAAGTTTTGTATTGACTAATAGTGGCAAGAACAATGCAAGCTGTACCTGGAAGAAGCCGAGGCTTTCCATACTGTTGGATTTGAGGAAACCTTTGAGCAATACTTGGAACGTGGGTGGAAGTCGGTAGCAACAAGTATTGTGTTGGTTTACACTTATGCCGCTTCTGGGGCCAATCTTGGGACACAGAGTTTTGAATACTTACTTAATTATCCAAAATTCACTCGCTGGGTATCCACCGCTAACCGTCTCATAAATGATCTCGCAACCTCCAAGGTATACATTGCGATTGATGCTACTTGGAGATTTATTTACGAATCAGTTGATGGCGTGAATCGAACACACGACCTTTACGAACTAATGTGATCTATTATTATTATTGATGTTGTTTAATCCATTGATAATTTCATCGTGTATAGGCGGAACTTGGAAGAGGGGATATTCTCAAATCAGTAGAATCTTACATGAAAGAGAATGATGTTTCAGAAAAAGAAGCCCGCCTGAACATAGAGAAGCAAATTGGTGAAACATGGATGAAAATCAACGAAGAGGCTATGGCCAATTATGGTGACATGAAAATGTATGTCAATCTTGGCCTCAACCTTGCTCGTGGGTTCCGATTCATGTATCAGTATGGTGATGGGAACGGAATGCCTACTCCAATGGACAAAGATCGAGCCATGGCATTGATTTGGCACCCTTTCACAATCAAAGAGACGGAGGAAACTACCGCGGTTTGATCGCTCATTTTTATCAAAATAAAATAAATTTGGTGCAATTTCTACAATAAATCACGTTTTAGTCTTTGTTGGGTCTAGTACGGTCGAATAGTCCGCATTTGATTTTTCTGTCTGAAAACATATCGCGTTGGAGAGTAGTTTCTCGTAGTTGTAGGATTCTGGGTTTGAGTTTTAATTTGGATTTTTGTCTTTTTGGTGATCCCATCAATTCTGTTGGCGGTTTAATTGTCGGTTGGTCTCCCGAAATTAATGTGTCGATGCTTTGTAATTCATCATTTTTATTTCCGTTGCTATCAATAATAATGATTATCAGTATGTGGTGGTTTGTCTTTATATTAGCAGTATTGCGGCCATTCAGCGCTCACAATTGGAAGTTTTACGAATTTACTGCTCCGACATTTCGGTGCCATTAGTGGTCATTGGCAATTTTAACTCTGTTTTAACATCAAACGAGAAACTAGGGGGTAATGCTTGGATCCCATAACAAGATGAAGATTTGTGGAATTTCATTGACATCTTGGGTTTTCAAGACCTTGGCTTTCATGGAAGCCCGTTTACGTGGACTAATAAACGAATGAGGGATGCATGTGTTCAAGAATGCTTATAGAGCGTTAGACTCTTCGTTGTGGATGGACACTTTCCAAGAATAAACACTATATTGATCAAGAATCGGACCATCAGACACTCATAGTATGTAGTAGTATTGCCAAGTAACAAAACTCATGGAAATGTTTAGGATCATATTCAACCAGGTCTTCTAATAGCAACTACTCTAATCACTTATGCTCAAACAAAGACTAAACAAAGATAATCTATGTTTAGTTGATTCTCAGATAGGCATAGATAAACAAAGCAATAAAGTAAATGATAGATAATATAGATAGACAAGATAAGTAAAGGATACACAATTGGTCAAGAAAGTATCATCTACATGATCAATTATCTCAATCTCACTAATAATAACATGCATTGGTGCATCTTTTAATAGGATACTTTATCCCTTCCAAGCGTTCCTAGTCGAGCTTTCCCCACATGCAAATGGAACTATAACTAGCTAATGTGTATTTTCGCTTCATGCAATTAACTAATCAATCATATAAGGAACTAAGTATAACACATAGCCATCTAAGGCCTATATAAGCCCATAACAATGGCCTATGAGATTGATGATCTAGTATATCAAGCATCAATCTCATATAGGCATGAAAGGTTGATCATTCAATTCATACATGCATAAGGCAATAATATATAATATAAAGAAAGTTTCTTAGTAACCTATAATGATATTATAAGCAACACCACATAATATATGATTTAGAGCATCGATGAACTATAGCATCCTATTAAATAATAGAAAGAAAAGATACGTGAATGTCAATAGAATTAACATACTTAAACAACAAATTGAACTAGCTAAACATAAGAGAGAAAGATTGTACCACCATTGATGATGAAGGCATCTCTTTAACTGTGCGCCTCCTTTTGATGCTAACTCGATCTTTCCTTGACCCGAGTGACTCATTTCTCGAGAATTAAAGAGTAGTACTTGTCATTTCCGTAATCTCCTAAATCCTTTAGCCTGCCCTCTATTTATAATACACAGGAGGATGGGTTTTCAGGATTTCTCCTCATAAAACTCGGCCATAAGCTTCCTTGTACTTGTACGACTTGAACTAGGATTCTCTGACTTAGGGATGAAGAAAGAAGATCACATTCAAGGCCAAGATGGATAATGCATCTTTATAATTTTGAAATATTTCACAAATTTCATAACTATCATATATTGGATCCAATTTAAAAATTAAAAGACTGAACATATATCATGTATAAGCATAATGAAACAAACCATCACAAACTCATTTCCACCCCACACTTTAAACATGACATTCTCTTCAATGGACTAAAAGATAGGTGGACAATGGCAAAGGGTTTGAACGGTTTACCTCATTTGTCGTTCAATCTGAAATAAATAGATGGTAGGCTAAAAGCAATTCTCCTTTATTTCTACTGTGATTCATAATAAGCAAAAAGAAGGGGAAAAAAGAGAAAGTGAAATCACAAAAGGGAGGGCGAGCTAATGCTTCTTCTCCTAATTAGTATCCAAAAAGAATCAAAAGAAAGAAAGATGGATAGTACTCCTCAAAAAAGAAAACATAGACTCTTATGGATCACCTCCTCGTATCTAGTTAGAAAAGAAGTCATCAAACTTCTAACCATAGTTGTTAATCCAGTTTTGCTGAGTCTGCAAAAACTCATATCTCCTCCTCTACTTCTCAGCTGAAGCCGTTTGAGATGTTGATTCTCCTTTCAACCCAGAACTCGTTTCTCCGCCTCGATTCCAACGCCGGGTTCTGAAATATGACATAAACACACAACCTAGCGTGAAATCGGCTTAAAACACGAGAATCAACATCTCAAACGGCTTCAGAATAGGGGTGAAAACATGTGTAATTATCGGTCTATCAAACTCCCCCACACTTAACCGTTTGCTTGTCCCCAAGCAAACCTAACTCAACCCAATGCAACTCTCAAGACCTCTATAGCAACAAACAACCCCGATCCTAGGTAGAGGACTTCCTAGATCATTTAGCATCTTACGAGGTCAACCGACGCACAAGTCATCTCATAGCTTCTTCGGCGAGAGCACTAGTCTCGAGTCGGCATCATGGCAAATAGTGAACAGAGGACAAATGAGTCGTGGATGAAGAGACTCTCAAAAACAAAAGATCATGGACTCACATTTTTTCAAGGTGCTCAATTTTCTTCTTGAAGATGGTTGGAACCCCTTTTCTTTCTTCTTTTTGCTTGTTTTTTTTTTTTTTTTTCAAGGGTTCCAACCTGTTTTTTCGGAAAACGGGGGATCCCACCTAGAAAAGGTTTTGCGGGAGCCCGGCTCTTACCGGCCATGCCAGGAGCGGGTGTCTCGAGCCTCGTGCGGGGGAAAGACATGTAAGGGGGCTGGAGGTAGTAGGTGGAAATTGGGAACGGATTCCCGTCTCCCCTTACACACTTTCGCCCTATTCGCACGGGAGACGTTAATTTAAAGCACATTTTTGAGCACCTGTTATTTTCAAAACATGATATAAGAGTCCATGACAGGTAGAGAGTCCACAACACCACACAATTCAAGGGTCCTAAGATCACTAATTCTCTTTATCAACCAACACAATATGAAGAAGAAATGAGACTTCTTAAATGCATCAACATCTTCCATAGTGCTACACTACCTCCCTAGGTTGCACATTGCTACAGAGACTGTCAATTCAAAGCATAGTGAGCAGGCAATTGCAAGGAACACGTACTTGGAGCACTCAAATTTTAAAAATTTGGACAGTGGACTAGGCTCCAAGCACACAAACAGATCTATGCAGTCAAAAGATAAACATACCCCCCACACTTAAGATCGACATTGCCCTCAATGGAGAAGAGGGAATGAAAGGGGAACGATGTTACCGCGATGCACATACTGCTGGAGACTGGAATGGACCAGTCGGCATGAAACGGACTGGAGAGAGGACCAGTCGGGAACACAGGCACAGCTAAAGGAAACCAAAGAGCTCAAACACAATACGTTAGGTCCAATGGTCAGCCCAATATTACATCATCCAAGACAAAAGAAAACAAACCAAAGCCAAAGCTATTGGTAATCCGACCCAAAACATAAGAAATAAATGAAAACCGTGGTGGGGTTGCCTCCCCACAAGCGCTTCTTTACCGTCTTATAGCTGGACGCCCATGGTGGATAATCAGCGTGGTGCAGGAACAAGTGCCTCCAAGAGCGGATCCACATCGCTCTTGAGGTACAGCTTCAGGTGGTGACCGTGCACCCTACGGGTGCAACCACCAGCAGTGGTTAGCTCGACCTGGCCATCCGGCAGAATGCAGGCAAGTGAGTACGCGGATGGCCAGGGTGATCGCGATGTAGGAGGTGGGACCAGCTCATAGTGGTCTCCACCTTTCTTCCGAGTGGGCTTAGGCACCTGCTGCTTCGGCCGCCACTCCTCTTTGAGCTTTTTATTCGGCGGTGACGCTGGAGGGAGCGACGGCGAAGGAGTGAGAGGGGGATCCTGCAAAATGAGAGGTGCAGAAGGATACACGACAGGCTCGTGTACCGGGTCAGAAATAGCATGCACCGGTGTGACAGCAATCATAGCACAATGATCGAATTCAGTCACAGAAAAGGTTGCTTGTTCATTTCCAGCACGCAGGATCAGTTTACCATCATGCACATCAATAAGTGCCTTGGCGGTGGCAAGAAATGGTCTCCCTAGAATCAAAGGCACATCCACATCCTCATTTATATCCAGAATAACAAAGTCAACAGGATATGTGAATGCACCCATATTAACAAGCAGATCCTCTATGATACCCCTAGGATGCACAACGGAACGATCAGCTAGCTGAATGCTCATCCTAGTAGGGCTAAGTTCACCTAGGTCTAGCTTTTTGAACAATTTATATGGCATGATGTTTATGCTAGCGCCTAGGTCCACCAAGGACTTGTCTACATGCATGCTGCCAATAGTAAGAGGGATAGTGAAACTCCCTGGGTCCTTGCGCTTTTCGGGAAGCTTGTTCTGCAGGATAGCAGAACACTCCTCGCTCAGCAGCACTGTCGAGAGATCCCCAAGTTTCTTCTTGTTGGTGAGGAGGTCTTTCATGAACTTTGCGTACTGGGGCATCTTCGACAGTGCCTCCACAAACGGTATGCTGATGTTGAGCTGCTTCAACATTGCTATAAACTTGGCAAACTCAGTCTCCAGCTTGTCTTTGTGTAGGCGAGTGGGGAAGGGAAGTTGTGGTACGTGCTCCTTAACCACTGGTTGTGGCTTGGGAGCAGGGGCTTCCTTCTCCACCCGCATTTCTGTATCATCAGCTGGAAGTGCTGAAGCAGGTAGTGGTTCCTCCTGCCTGGTTGGGGCAGGATCAGCCGATGTGGGTCTGCCACTTCTGGTGAAGATGGCATCCAGCTGCTCGTGCGGCTCCCGTGGATTGGGGATGGTGGTGGCAGGTAGAGTCCCCGGGGCCCGGGCAGTAAGTTGGCGCGCTAGGGCACCGACTTGGTTCTGTAAATCTTGCAGAATAGCACCCTGGTTCCTCTGTCCTGCCTCCAGAGAGGCTATGCTCTGGTCCACCCTCGTGAAATTCGCCTGGCTGGTGGTCATGAATGCCGCCAAAATATTCTTCAAATCGGTCATCTGGTTATCGGGAGCTGGGGCTGTTGCTGGCTTGGCATACTGACGCTGGGGCTGCTGGAATGGCTGCCCCTGCCTAGGCAGGTAGGGCTGCTGCTGTGGTGGTGGCCCCTGCCTAGCCTG